GTTTTCAAAAACTACGCCAAAGGAGGAATTGAAACACAATTTAAACAAGTGCACTTGCTTGTGTAAATTAAGGACATTTTACGTTGCACCATATTATCGGTAGTATACTACGTGACAGGTATGATTGATTAAAGAAGCATACTAGCGGTAATGCCCTCTAAGTAAGGACGTACGTGGACGTGTTTCTCAGCCATCCTTACTACTCGGAACTTGTTTCGATTTAATGAACATCGAGTCGATGATCTACATACGAACTCATAACAATCTCCTGCTCTCTTTCAATTTAATGGAACTATTCAATGGCGTAACAATTTCAGTCTCTTTTTTCTTATATGCAATTATTTCTAACGTGCATTTTATTATTCCTAAAGTAAGCATGTTTTGAGAATAAAGAATTTACGCGCCTTTCAGCATAAATCTAAAATGGAGTTACTTAATCTGTCTTTATGATTGGAGCTTGGCTAATTGTACTGAACGTAAATTGATTTCGTGTCGGAGAATTTTTTCGCACTAGATTTGGACAGTTTCTACCTGTGGCTAAATATTCGGCGTGCTTCGCGACTGTACTGGGTTACAAACATAAAGGGGATAACATTCTTATAGGTGAGACATAAGCTATCATAGAGCAATGCAAACGTTATTTCCTACGAGGCAAGATGGACGTTTTACGTCAGCTCTGCCAGGCCTTATTAATAATTAAGAAGAAAAAAAAAAAAAAAAAAGCGATCAGTTAACGTCTGTTGGACCTTCAGCGTCATAGCTGTTCGACCTAAAAAGAGGTAATTATAGGGACTTGTCTACATAAGGCAACTAACTAAAAGGTATTTCATTGGGTTTGTATACGAGGAAGTTTGTGTACCTAAATACTCAACCATATGAGGGAAGTTACTTCATATATATAACTATCAAATGTTCGTATTTTGATTTGAATCGTACTTACTTGATCATTTGCTTGAAGCGTTACGAGCTCTAATTGGCTTCACATTAAACTTTGACCGTTTGAAGTCTTGCTATCTATACCTCGACAGGCTTAATATGTGACACCTCAGCTAATATCAGGAGGAGTCTGTCTAGAAGACTTCATTATGTGAACGTTACCAGAATTTTCTGTCGACCGATATCTACTTTTAGACGAAAAAAGATGTGCGTTTCATTATGCGAGCGCGTTCCCACGTACGTTGTTTTTTTCTTTCGCTCCAAGATACAATTCTATCTTTATCATTTGCGTTCCGTTTGTCAGCTGCAACACAGTTACCGCTATATTAAACTGATGTGAATTATGGATGGCAAATATAGAGAATGTCAAATTAAGTGAATCCTTTAATGACCAAGCTGAAATCAATTAATGGAGACAGCCATTGATCATTTCTGGTTTGATTGCAGGATTATCGTTAATCTACTGCGATACCTTATCAGGTTGCTTTGAATAAAATCGAATGGTCGTAGCCGGCGATACTGAGTATCGTACCCAGCGCAGTACGGTTTGATGTGAAGCGATCGTTGAAAAAGATAAGTAGTGCTATTTCTAATTAGAAAAATTGCTAATACATATACACGCACACGTATATATATATATTGGTACTGTAAATAATGAAGCTGTTACTAGCGAATTTGTTTGACCTGCTGACAGCTTTTAGATGCAGATCCGACTCACATTTATCTAGAAATTTTCCAATTTCAGCACGTATTTTTCCATTTGGCCACGTTACTGAGCTATATTTTTCAACTTACCGTGGTATATCCCCTCCGCCGGACGCGGTAACTTGATTGCTATATGGGGCCCTCCGATAGAATAGTAGGCCGTCCATAGTAAGGCAATTTTAACGGCGGTAATGCAGCCTCTAGCTGTGGTAACAAAGCTGTAACTTGTTGTTGAGTTTTAATGTTACTCGTATTTATAAGTATCCTCCCGCCATCCTCGAACTTCCGTCGAGCAAACTTTTTCAGCCCGAACCACGCTGTCATACGCTATTGTCGATTTCAGAACTGTCGATGCGCGTTTCGGCGCAATTCCGCCGCGTTTCGTCCGCCTGTATTCTTAGGATCGGAAAGTCTGTTGAGCAATACGGCCCGGTAAACGAGAAACAAACGTAGGACAGCATGGCTTATATAGGTCCAAATATCGACGTTTAGCAAGAGGTTGGCAAACAGCATTACCAGATATTAATCATAAAAAAAAAGAAAAAAAACGCACCATAGTATGGAAGGTAAGATATTATTGTTAGGTTAGATGTTTGTATAATTGGTGTTCCGTTTCGTAAGTTTGTTAAAAAAAAACTTCAGATAAGTGCAGCAAGACCTATTCCGGTTAACCTCCTTGGTGATTCCGAGAATTGGCTTACATAGGATGAAAAACTGACGATGGTGAAAACAAACAAAAAAAAAAAATGAAAAGCTTTTAACAGTTTAACGGTGTCCTTCCTAGGTTATCGCTTGGGAATGCCTTGAGAGAAAGCGCTATATACACTGAATGAACTGACCAGCCCGCTGTATCGTGCGTATTTGACAGCCTTCTTGTTGTTTGCGATTTGTTGCGATGCCCTGAAATGGCGTACAACCCGTCACGAAGTGTGAAGCAAGCTCGATGGTTCGTCACAACGGCGCCGAAGCTCCGAAGGAACACTGCGTAGCTTACGACCTCTTAGTTACGGCATCTTATGTCGCCTTCCAAGGAGGCACGAGCTAGACGAAACGGGTGCAACGATCCGGTTCGCGCTAGGGTTTTGAAGTCTTCACCACCTGTGATTTTTAAGAAGCTTTTGAAGTTTAAGCTCACTTTTTCGAAGAACTTGTCTCGTTGCGGCAATGCGGTTTCGTCGCTGCCAGACCTTACACTGAACCAGTATCCCCCTGACCCGCGCCATAAACCAGTCTTTCTCAATAAAATCTCGTTTTTTAACGTGTAGCGACATCGTCCGGACGTCGAAATGTACCGCCATGAGACGGTAGAACATGATGCCGCAGTTTTTTCTTGACCCGGTAGAGCAGACCCCCAAGCGAGCATTCAGCTCATTCCTCCAATTTCACATTTATTTTGCGTAGGTGATGGTCCTTGCTATACGCTTTTTAAACCCTATCCACTCAAAACCGCTGCTCCGTACTAGCGGCACCTTCAGATGTCTCAGAGAGTGTGCAGACGTTGACGGCGCCATTTCTGTGGATGACTTCGAAAGCGTACTCCAGTGAGGCAAGGGTAAAAAATATGGGAAAATAAATGATTTAATTGAGAAATTAATAATCATTGAACTAGAATCATTGGAACTAAAAAAGCTTATAAAAAAATTGTGCTACATCTTAATATACTCAAGTGCGATTTATCTTTGGCTCTCCGCCATGTCCGTACCGACTATCTGGGCGATCGCTTAATGCATAGTGCATACTTTTTTTTTTTTTTTTTTTTTATATATATGAATTGGTCGAAAAATAGTGATCATCGTAATAATCCAGAAATTGATGTTTTCGTCTGCCCCGAAGAAATCGTAATCATTGCTCAATATTAAGCTTCGATGCTAACCCCTCGTAACCAACGATGTCAGTAACAAAGGATAATTGAGCCAATGGCAAGCAATGCAAAAAAAATGTAACTAACTTGAATTAAATTGATGTTTTGGATTCAATAGGAAATGTTATATGCGGGTTTGAACTATAATGATATTAGACTTCGCTGTTTGTTGTGTTTGCCATATTGAGTTGTCGAAAGTATTATTTATTTTTCTCACTTTTCTTGATGCACTAGTATTGTTCGAATACCTTTGATTTAAAATAAATCTTTACTTTGAAGATGGGTGGACCTTTAAAAGTTTGCTGTATTTCACAATTTTCCACATATATTACAATAAAAGTACGGGTACCGCCCACATCCATAAAAAATGTTTGCTATTCATGGACAAGATACTGAAACGACCCAAACGTAAGTTGCCATAACATCACCAAGAAACTAAACATCCATAGTTTTTAACCACCTCAGGAAAGCTGGCTAGAAAGAATAGCTTAACGTTCGAATGCACTATGAATTAACGCCAAAAAAATTGTTCGATCGTAACTCCCTCTGCGAAACTCTACAGGAAACAAAAGTCGAGCCATTTCGGAATACGGGTGATAGCAAATGGACACTAATGTGCAAATAGAAAAGACGCTGTGTACAGTCTCCGGCGGAGACCAAGTCAGGTGACGTTACGTTTTCAGCGGTATTGGAACGGAATCGTGCCTTGTCAGTTAGGGCTACCTGGCAAAACGTTTGATATGGATTTCTATTGTCAACAACAAACAAAATAACAACAAGCCATTGGAAATAATCAGTCGAGTCGTGCGTAGAAAAGATGTCGTTTGATTCCATGGCAATGTTGTAACACATGCATCATTAGCTGCCCTGCAAAAATGGAAAGCACTTGATTGATGGGAATTTTTCATGTATACTCCGGATCTTGCACCATCAGACCACCATCTGTTTTGGTCTCTGTAGAACTCCCTTAGTAATATTAATTTAGTTTTAATGCAAATATCACTTCCTGCAATTTTTCGACCACGCCATGAAGTTCTGAATTAGGGAATTATGGTATCATCAGAAAACTTTCGTTGATCAGAATAGCGCACGTTTAGTCTATTAATATTATTTTTAAATATAAAATATATTTGCCTCAATTTAAGCGTAAAAATTTGTTTCGATATATGTATATATAAGGATAATAAAACTGGCCTGTTATGTGATTGTTTGTACCTATCTACGCCGATAGGGGCTCTAGTTGGACTAATTACACGGTTAATTTCGGTTTGCGCCCCCTTCTCCTATTTGTATGTAGTCGTCTGTGGCAGTCGGCCTGTGACCCACTCACAAACACCGAAAGACGCTAAGATTCCTCTCGGATAGGAAACGTGGAGACCAGAGAACATTGTGGGAAGGGTTGTTGAAGACCTTTCCCATTCAGTAAGGAAAGGGACCGGTTCTGTGGCCGTTGGGTCGCGCGAAAGCTAGAATAGTAGAGTGTGCTGGGCATCGAAAAGTGTACATCAAAGGCGCAACATTTGCCAATCGGACACTACGAGAATCGTGTTCATGACATACAGTTATTTTTAAACGAGCAAATATAAATTTAAGCGTACCCAAAAAGTCATATATGAGTCAAGCAAAAGTGAAACATGGCTAGGCGGTACGTGGAACATTCTAACCTTGCTGTGTAGTTACCAAGCATGTCTTATGAGTATACGGAACCCTTTCCGTGCCAGAGAGTTTTTCAATGTTGGGAAGATCTTTAGCTATATTAGAAATTTCTAAAAGGGTCTATTCTATTTACAGATCAGTGAGAGCTGTACAATAAAAAAAAAAAAAAAAAAAATAGTTTTTTAACAAATTTAGCAGATCATATTTTGTGGTTAGTTGTGCTGTTGGAAAACCGGTGCGGTACAAGGCTGACCTCGCGACAAGGAGTGGTATACAGAAATTCGCGACGCGACCAGTGATAATTGGTAATCGCAGGATCGACATCGCGGCGAATTCAATTCAATAGTGTGCCTATTATAGGAGTGGGTGCCTGCAAAGGGATCTGGTTTAAATGTGCCTGACTGAATACTACTTTATCGTGGAAGCGTCATGGTATCTGGCGGATGCGTGGTTAGTACGTAAGATTCATTGTAAATAGTCTAAGCGGGTTTTACAAAATTAATCACTGCATTCGTTGAGTATAAGTACTAGTCAGATTCCTTAAGCAATGTACAGCCTGATGCATCTAGCTTGACTGTCGTTTCGTAGGATAATACGTTATTTAACGCATTGGAAAAATTATTAAAAACAGAACTGGTCCTTAAACCCGAAACATTCATTTAATAAGCTGGAAAGCGAAGCAGTTAATAGCGTATAGTTGAGCTAAGCCATACAAAAAGACGCGTCACCCAAAATAAATAAAAAAAGGAGTACTACATTTAAATCTGTATTGCCCTAATTTTAGTAAAGAAATGAACGGCTTCATTTAGACTCAGATTTGAATTTCGGGAATGGTTTATTGCGAATCATAATCCTCGTACCGCCGCTCAGTATTGCTTCTAATGGCAAAGTGCGTCTGACCAGTGTCTTTTCCTAAGTATAGTAGGGAAGTATGTTGTAGTTTCACCATCATGGATTTGTTTATATAAACAGCTTTGTTAAAAAGCTAGCAGTGGCTATTCCATGACACCAGCTATTGATTGTTACACGCGGCGATTGAAGAAGGATTGACTGACTCTAACTACATTTTAGTTAATTACAGTATTATTAATATTGCCATTGGAGACACACTTTTCCACTGCTGTGGAGCAGGATGATATCTTGGTAGGAACTGCTGTTATCGATCTCTAACTTTTATGCAATGTTAACTATATAAGTAAAATGTTATACAATGCTCACAAACGTACGTGCGTTGGATAAAAACAATTTCCACTAAATAGCTCCACTTGATCTTAGGTAGCCTGGTAGATGATTCGTTCAAGTTTTATGGTTAAACAATATGTTGAACTTCTGTAGTATGTGTGGGTCTGATGTAGCGGGCATATTGACAATAAGCTAACAGACCCATCTAGTTTTGTAGGTAGCACCAGAAGAACAAGTGGGCAATCTGCTGAGTATATAACCTGTCCTCTTCCACAACGCTGGCGCCAATACCCCAAACGATCACTATTTTCTTCATACCGGACCGCGTTGAATAAGACGGTACATACATACATACATACATAGAAGCATGTCTCGAGCTGTCGACGCCGCAAAAGTTACGTCGTTAGAAGATTCGCCTTTAGGAAATTCTGACGATATGGCTATTTGTGGAGATATAGTCTTACAGAGGCTTGTCAGAGCCGAACTCTTTCGGAGAATACAACGGAGAAAAAATAAATCTCGCTGATCGAATTTGCATTCACACGGACGAAGGACTTTTCTACCCTGGTCATTCGAAGAGAAATTTGACCAATAAGTGGATCTGTTAGACATTAAGAGCTAACGAACATTTGTTTGCCGAAATATTTAGTAGCCATGAGGAACTGGCTGACGATTCAAAAAATGTTCGTTAACAAATTGAGTATCCTTAGAGGGGCTTTAGAGAAACTGGTGTCGTCGTGTGAAAATATATGCAAATTAAAGAATCTTAACTTCGTCAGTTTCGGTCCCCATAACAAATTTGTCTTGTATTTATTCTGCGACTTATGATGTCGGAGGATTTAAGGCAACGGTTCTCAAAAAACCGGAAATGATTAGCGACTAGGATAGGTTTTGTGGACGACACAACGACGACAAGCGATAACGCGACGTCATATACCTAGCTTATCTCCTGTTTGGTGAGATAAAACAACCGGACGTCACCTTCGATGAACATGAAGCTTCATTGATTCGTGTCACCATGAAGGCTGGAACACCGCTATACACTCGTGAAGTGATGCAAATCAGTTTTGACGGGGTATGCTTCTTGCGTTTGCAAAATGCCTCTTAACAGAGTTACGGGACGGATCACAAGTGCATGGCAATCTCTCGTTCTGTACGCTTGTTGATCCAAATGAAGTTACGAACTTAAACTAATCGCAGCAGATATGCATAAGCACGTGCAAAAAGAGCACTGTCGCATTTATTTGCAAATACTTATACTTACTCTAGCATCGCGCAATAATCTGGCGTTTAATTAGATATCTGAAAATCGATTCGTTCTAGAGAAAAATGAGGCGTGTCGCTCGACTTTTGCCCAGGGTTTCCGCAGGCAACTTATTTCAGAGCCAATCGGGAAGATCACAGGCTCTAATGCTTTAATGTCCATTATCATAGCCGCAAGCTATTTACTTGGCGCATCGACATGTTTGCTGCACCCGACTTGACACATGCGTATTGTCTCAGAAATAAATCATTAAGCGAACAAGGATACCGCTCCATGGCGCAAAACACCGAGTCGACTGCTGCTATGATGAAGTCATATTTAATCTCATAAAGATGAACGCTCTTTTGACCGAGTGGAGTCTGTTACTTTTTTTTGTTTAGATTTAAGTGGAATCCTCTGTATATATCTGATATGTATAGATAGCTATGTGTGCCCATCGGCTGGCAGCCACTAAGGTGTCCCTGACCGCTAGCTCCAATTTTGGTGAATTTCAAAGCATTCTAATTGGGGCAGTCAGGACCTATAGTTTAGCCGAGTCAGTTGAGAAATGAATCTCACGTAAGGTTCCACCGGAACAAGACGACGACAGCAATGAGATCGTAAGTAAATAATATGCAAACCATCTTTTCAGGGAACCAATATAAACATTTCACCGAATGAACTTGCCAGAAATAGTTTACTACGAAGGGAGTTAGAAGCTTCCTTGCTCCTGGACAAAATTATGTTTTGGTAAAAAAAAAAAAAAAAAAAAGTGAGAAACAGGATATTTTTACAAGAAGCTCTCGCAAGTAACAGGATATGGAATGTGAGATTGATAGAACGGAATCAAAACCGAGGTTTTACATGACTGTGATTCAGAGTCTAGCTTCTTTTTCAATAAGCCTTAATAAAAATAAGAAAAGCGTTCCAAGCGATGCTGTTGCTAAACGAATAATGGTGTATACTATATTTACGTTCTATTAGTAATATATTGGATGTGTTAGCGCAATATTGTATCTGCTTAAGGCCATTTGGCAAATATACTCGACATAATTGACCTGCGTCAAGGTCTGCTGATTTTTAATAAGCTCTCATTGAAACAAAAAACGAAACAACATTGAGTAAGATGCTGAAAACTACATGTAGCAACAATAACTGCGAGAACGTTTATTATGTTCGTTTTTTTTTTTTAATATATTATAATTATCGTTTAAATATACTGGGGAGGTATTTATTCTAATCGAGTTTATATATTGTATTGTGTATTATTGTACGTAGTGAGCAGATAAACGTTTATTGCTTATTACATAACCGATGCCCACGTCAACTTTTTATTATTTGAGCAGAATGTGAGTCGTCCTCGATAAGTTCGTTGCGAAGAGCTGACAAGAAGATATTGCATTTAACAGCCATAGGGCTCAGGTCTCGCGTTCCGTCGATGTTTTTTTGAACAACGATAACATTGAGCTCCTGAGATCATAAAGTGTGAAGATGTTGACGTTTTTTTTTCTTCGTTAATTTATTATCGATTATTCCACATATATGATTCAACTACTGTGGCAATGAATTTATAAAGCGTATGATCCAGATCTGTGTTGACAACGTGTATTATTTTATTCAGAACGAAATGTGATTTAGTAAATTTTTAGTATTTACAAGGATAGTAGCTGTTTTATTTTTGATTGAGGATTATTATTATTGACTACTTGCCATTTGAATGATAACCTACCTATTCCGCTTTTATAGGAGTCTGAGGTACGAATGTCATAAAGTCTCAAGTTTGGCATCATGCTGGGATTTGAACAACTTTCTAGCAGAAAATCGTTGAGGTATGAAAAAGACAGTCATAATCTGTGGAAGCAATGTTAGCTAAGAATGGTTATTGTCTGAGAGCTTCCGTGATTTTCGCGGTATGAGGTCGAACTTCGCCGTGTAATGGGAGTCATTTAATTTTATTCAGTTATCTTGGCTGCTTAAGGTAGAGTTTGTTCAGAATGCACATTAGACATAATCGACAAACCAGAACTCGTGAAACTATAATGTATAGCAGCCAGAGTACACACCGTAAGATTTTTCAGAGGGGATCTCCTGCCGGCTTGATCGAATTGCCGAGCCGAAGACAAGCAGACGTTTTTACATTTTGGCTATAGATGCTCGCTCAAGTAATGTAACGCGTACTTTTTCAGTATATATATAGGTGATTAAGTATAAATTTCCTGTATACGTCAAATTCCCGTGCGCTTTAAGTGTACCGAGAGGCGTGCCATTTTCCACCACGACCTTCAACAATTAACTATCTACCCTCATAACGGGTGTTCTATGAGACTAGACCTTTTGAGTTCAAACTGTCCTGCTTTGAATTTTTAAAATCACTTCTTCCCAGTAGTAGATTCTCCACTGAATACAAGGCTTCAGGTACGACTTCGCCATTGTAGTTTCTAAGACGGAACTTGTATATACGAAACACTCGAATTTCTGATTTTCGATTTTCGCTACGTCGGCGTAACTATGAACAATATCTAAGTGAACGATCTTAGATCCCACAGAAAGTACACCTTTATTCCGAACACAAAAATGACGCTACACTGCTATGAGTTAGCGCTGTTTCGAAATATGAAGATAATGTTTGCCACATCCCATACGCATAGTATGAAACTACACTAAACAAATTAAGCTGACGATTCCCAAACCTACATAATTCGGTCGGGACATCTTACCAAATAGATCGTATTATTCTTCCCTACAATTATTTACTTGTCATTCTGGAAAGCGGAAGTCACAACCGAGAAATTTCATTCAATTCAGCTGTTACGAGGGCACACGGGCTATGTCGGCAAAGCACGATGCTAGCCGTCTGCTTTTCTTGGCAACAAGCCGGTTCCTAAATAAAGCAAATAATCAAAATTGTCGAATGTGTTGATATAACACTATCTCGAAGAAGCGCGTCATAGCATCAGCAATGTGCTTTGCGAAACATTGTTTTTTTTTTTTTATTAATATATAAATGACCCATTCGAAGCAACGC